ATTTGTCACTTTCATTCTTTTTCTTTTGAGCACAATATGATAACTGTAAAACTCACACTGTCTGAGTAAGTTGCAGAAATGCTAACGGTTAGGAATAGTATTTACAGAAACATAAAAAATAATAATTGGTTACATACCAACAGGAGGGTTGTCCAGATATTGTTGCAGTTGAGATGGGGACAGGCTTGTTTTCAGTAAAACATTTAAAATTCCAAGGCTATTGAGCTGAGGCTGAGAATGTGTTTAAGGTTTAAGGGATTGATCATTCATTTCAGATCATACAAAGTATAATATATTCAAAGGCTTGAAACAATATGAGACAAACCAGCTCTTCTGCAACACTTCAACACAATCACTGTTACGGTTATAATTGAAAGTAGGCACTGCCAGTTTTAGATGATAAAATGGTTAAGGAATGACTGTTGTTTTGGTTTAGGTATACTTGGTAGTTTTTGGAACCTTAGTACTCAATATAGAGACAACTCAAAAAGGTAAGCAGGTAGCCTTGTTACATTACTGACAACTACTCTTTATGCAGGCTTTATTGTTTTGCCAAAGACTTGCCCTGTGTAATTTTAACAACACACATACTCATAACACTATGGCTTTCATTGGTCCGGAAAGGAGGAAAACATTATGTTTATTACCTTGATGTTGGCTTGATTAAGATGTGAAAAGACATCTGTGGCTGGTATAGTTCTTGAGGAACCATTTGGATGTCTCTCAACAACATACATTACCACTTCTGACCTGATGAAAAATGCAGCACACAACAAATATGTACTTATAACAATCAGTGCACTGGTTAAGAACTCCTAACTAAAATATTACTTCAGGTCTTTAAAAGGCATATCAGTTGAACCAACATGAAGCATATGACCATATAAATAACAATGTATGTTGATAATGCAGTATGTCCTTGTATCAGAAAACAACTGAAATCATTTTAACAACCAAGGTTAGCATTCTTTCTTGTTCTGTGCAGCGAATACTTTTCATGTTGATTGCTACTCTAAGCAGTATCACAGACCTGCATCTGAAGCCATAGAAGGCATCTATCTCAGTTCAGCTGTCCTGAACTTGCCAATAGTTGAATATTAGGCTTCCAATTTACTCCCTTCTTTGACCAAGATTTGCCTGTACATCACAACCCAACATAGAGGAACTGAACATCTTTTTTTATTCACAAGTTGAGTCTGTAGGAACAGTATGCAAGGTAAAACCAAAAAAATTATGTAGATTACCTGCCATCTGGCAGAGGTTTTATTCCATCGATACAGACCATAATGGTAGGTTTGCTTCCTAGACACTTATGAAGTCCATCTACAATCCCTTGTTGTAAAGCACGAACATCACTTTCTTTCTTCTTTATTTCAAGAGATAAATGACCATCCTCATTACAGGCCATAGGAAGGCGACTGTAGCTTACAACCTATTAAATCAATGCATAAAAAAAGGTTCATAATATGTAGGCATTTGGTAGTTGTTACTACAGCTTGTAGTAAGTCAGCCTGTTGTGTTTTCATTCACATTTGCCATCGTCTATCCAGATCAACCTTGATAAGTAAATACTTATCACCGGTCAGGACTTACCAGTAACTGGTTCATGTTTTGGGTTGGAACATAAAACTTGGCAAACACAGTTAGCCACTAATCACTGTCCTTTTTTTCAACAGGGAAGAGTTCTTCTTAGTGACCTTGAAGAGTTATGACTTCCAACAAATGCCTTAACTGCCTTTCTTCAGGTAGCCAGCAAGAATTTGAGCCATCTTTGATGACAAAGAGGTAAAGCTAGAGAACCACCTTAACACCTCTTATTGTATCACAACATCTTGAAAAGAAACTCTGAAGTTTAACCGACCAGCAGCCTTTGTTTCTAGCCCTGATTAAAGTGGACTTGTCTAGTTCAGTTTACATATAAAATTCATACTTAAATAGTAATAGGACTGAGTGGAGTCTATACATTGGTTACACATTTTCATAAAAAAACAACAACAGATAACAAAATGCATAACAAGAATGGATGCACCTGATGTGTACTGTTCTCATACACAGGCATGACATGTCAACTGTCAAATTACAAACATGATGCATTCACTGTCCTATAAGTGCTCAATTCACATTGATAATAATCAATCACATTTGAAAATTTTGCTACAGTTTTGATTAAACTGGCTCTCTGTAGATCAGCTTTTATTTTTCAGAGCCACTGTCATGACTTATAAATGCATGAACCATCTTGCCCCCAGTTACTTGAGTAGTAAGTTTGTTAAGAGATCAGACATTCATAACCATAGGACATGAAATCGTGAAGCTCTACAGATTCCATTCTTTAGGTCAGCATCTGGTCAGTGGTCCTTTGCCTTTAGAGGGGCGAGGCTCTAGAACAATATATCTCCTGAATTAAGACAGTGTGCCTCCCTAAAGGCATTTAAGGAGAAACTTAAGAGTCACATTCTTGCATACAGTTGTTAGTTTTGATATAATTAGTGATATTAATGTAAATAGTCATTAGTTTTTGATGTTATTGATCTGATGAAGTTATGTAAATAGATGCTGAAAAGCCCCTTGGGGAGTACCTATGAAATCTTTCTTCTTCTATTAATTAAAAAATGTATTGACTGATAAGCAGACCCGAACTGCTCCCAGCAGTTGGGATCTGTGATATAAACACCTTACCTTAAAGCGACAAAATGGATTTTGTGGTGTGAAGTCAACTGCACTTTGTTGGTTATAAAACCCTTTTCCAGTTCCCCAATAAGCTTGCACCTGGTTCAACTTGGCAATAATTCCATCTCTTTCATCACCATATATCTGAGGCTGAGATAAAGCAACAGCCAGCTGGGCTAAGGGTGCAACTTGTTGGTTGGGTACAGACTGGTTACTCTGCTGTGAAAATAACCCTGAGAGGAAAAGAAAAAAAATTACCTTTACTCAGCTGAAAGCAACGTAAGAACACAAGAAGATGAGTACCACATATCTAGTTTATGTTTGTTATTCTTAAAAAGTTGCAACATTATACTTGCACCTATAACAGTTGCTACAGCCCATAGATTGAGGTTGTAAAATGCAAAAAGAATCATACATAAGTTACAGTATCAGTGTTCCATAGTTTTGAAAACTTCTAAAACAGCACCTGCTACAGGCTGACCAAAAGCTGTAGAACCAAGTCCTTGAGTTGTTCCAAAACCAGTGAGATTTGCTCCTAGAGAAGGAGCAGATGAAGTGACTGTTGATCCAAAACCTGATGGCAAATATAGTTTAATCAACTGAACAGTTTCATATCACTGTAACTGATACTATATGGCATCAACGTACAAAATTGTTTCTTTAATGATTTATTGGAACACTAAAGCTGTTTGCCTAACAAAGAATAAAATATAATTCTCATCGATCCTTGAACTGTTTCAGCTAGGGACTTAACCCAAACTGTAACTGGACAGTACAGACAAAGATTTAATGCCACTGAAAATCTTAAAATGCTTTCACAATCTTAGTCATCTTGTTTGGTTTGAATGCTGTTTCTCACTATGATAGGTTTCACAACAAGTCAACTTAAAACATTACTTATGTGCAATGCATTGTGCGCTGGGTGAGTCACAGGCTACTGGATTTTTAAAATTAATCATTTGCACAAAGGAAAATTTTTTATGTTTCTCAGAAGAAGTTGATGATTGTCTCTTGATTTCACTTAAAACATAGAGTAATTCTCTTATTCAATTTGTATAGGTAATCACATGATTTCGAGTGCAATTTGGAATAAATAAGCACAAGAAAATTTTTTATAAGACTAACAAAATTGCATGAGCACATAGGGCGAGTGCAATTTGTGGTCTTTGAAAAAATTAACAAGTGCTTGTTTATTCCAAATTGTACAAGAAAAATCATGTGATTACATGTTAATAATATACATGGAAAAATATGAGATGCTTATCATAATAATTATTAAGCATAAGCAAAGCGTACGCATCAAGTGCAAAAATAATTTATTCAAACCGTGCATTCAGTCAAACCAACCACGTACAATTAAAACAACAATGTGCAATGATATCTTCACATCTTTAAGGTGCAAAAAAAGTTCAAAGTCCAGCTAAACAGTTCAAGGAATTGTTCAGTCTGTGTCTGAATCACTTATGATGAAATGGAATCGTTGTTTCCGAGGTTTAACCATGTTTGTTTTTAATTTCCATGTTGGGTCTCTTGAGCAAAGTGTTAAGCTGGGTCAGCTCATAATTTTCGATTTCCTTGGCAATTCCCCTCTCTAAACACCACTTTTTCCAAACCGACAATCAAAAAGCAATGCTTTTTACAGTGTTTTCGTTGTTTGAGCTGTTTCACTCGCAAATTTTCAAATTTTCAAATTTTGTTGCAAAATCCAAGGCTCACATTTGATTGGCTATCTGTGAGTTTCTTTGATTATTGACCAATCAGAATTTCTGATTTGTTACTTTCTTTGCGCTGAATTAACCCTCTTCTGCACTGAATTACCTGAAAACTGCATTTATCATAACCAATCAGAACTGAGTAATTTTTCCATGTAAATTATTATTATGAAAACAAGGCAAAAATGTGAGAAAAGTTCAAAGTGACATTTGTACTTGCTCGCTTTCCAGCATAATAATGGGAGAAATAATAATGGGAGAAGAAATAATCTTCAAATATACCTAAAGAAGAAGAGGCAGTAGTCTTTGCGCCAAAGCTAAACACTGAACCAGTCGTTGTAGTTGCTGCACCAAAGCTGGCAGCAGTATTGGTACCAAAGCTCGTTGTGCCAAATAATGGCTTATTAGCTGTATTTCCCTGTTGGCTTACTCCAAAGGCACTAAAACCCGTAGTTGTGCTAGAAGGAGTTCCAAAAGAAAACCCCACACCTGTGGAAGGTTGACTAACAGCACCGAACAACGACATTTTTCTTTCAAACGACTAACACGAATAGCAATAAATGACAGGCGTTCTTAGTGACTAGATTCCGAAGGCAGGAGCCTGGAGCCCACCAGCAAAGATAATGATGTATGTATGGAGCATGTAGTGTACTCCTTATGCACATTGACTGATAAATAACCGTGATGATACAGTGTAGCTATATGGATAACGAGGAGTTAGAAAGGTAAGGTTAACACTTATGTAGCTAGTTTCGTTTACCTCTGTGAATCACATTTTATCGAATTTTAACATGAGCTTGTTCTCACTCTGTAGTGAAAGGAAAAAGATATAGGTTCTATCACATAAAAAGAACCACTTCATTGATTGGCAGATCACAACAGAAAACTAGCTTTACAATGTCAACAGGAGATCCGACTACGACAGCAAATACCCACCATGCGTTTAAATTCTGGCATTTTTCAAGAGAAAATTGAATATGTCACTTGCTTGATAAGCAAACACGTCAGTTTATCAGCATATTAAAGAGGAAGTACATCTTTGCATTAAAGATTAATCCATGTTGATTATGCCACATTACTAGCGTGGCTTGCACCAAGATTCCTCAAGAACTGGGAAGGTTTTTTTTGCACAGCATACCTGTATTACTGTGAGTGGGCAAGCACTGGGGTTCCTTCTGGGTGTGCAGGTGCTCATGAGATGTAAGACAATAAGTGGGTTCAGCAGGGGGTGGGGGGAGGGAGCTAGAGGACTGTTGTCATGTCTTGATGGGGAATTCAATCCTAATCAATGCATGGATGTGTTTATAAATCCAAAAAAAATATATGTAAGAGGTGGCATGAAAAACCAAAAACCACTCATGGAGACAAAACTGTTCTATATCCCTGTTTTCACTTCACACTGGTCATATCAAAACATCTGAAAGCTGGCAAGATGATAAATGGGTTAATTAATTTTTATAACCTAAGTTGATCAAATAATTTTTTGTACATAGGCTTGCCCAACAAGAACTTTTGCTGGAAGCAAAAAGAGCCAAATCAAGAGCAGAAGAAGTAGGACCTGTGGGATGGTAAGTTGTCTAGTCATCAAACACTTTTTTATCTCAAGTTATCATAGCCTTACAGATCAATTATATGCAGAATCCAAAGATTGAGTGAATCAGTGATCTTCAGGCCACCAGCAAATCAGAACATTTGGATCAACTTCATCTCAGTAATGTGTATGAAAAGAACACAGATTGAACAAATGCTCTTGATTAAAAGTCATTCAAGTCTGTTCAGACACTGTTAAAAGCTGAATGACAAATATTTACCTGGGTGATCAAAGAAATACAAATTCTTAGATCTATTGAGAATTATAAACCCTTTGATTGTTTGAAAGGAAAAAAAATTTAATAAAAGAGGTTAGGGGTGGTAGGTAATAAAAAACTGTTTAATCATTTATCTCACAATGTAGTCACCTGAGATATAGATTGTGACACTTCAACTGTTTACTACTAGTCTTCATCATGCAATGGGGTCAAGGGTGCTGTAGTCAAGGGTGCTATAGAAGCTGCATGACAAAAGTGAGAGAGTGATCCAAACCTCTCAGACCACACAACACCTGCTCAGATTGCGAACCTCTTAGACTTCAAGATCGACATACTTCCAGTGTAACAGTTCTATCTAACACCAGCTACAGGGTGCAGGCATGGGGAGCCCAGTTTCTGCAGCTATTACAAACCTCTGCATGGAGGTATTTGAAGAACAAGTGGTAGAATCCACAACACAGAAACCCAAGATCTGGAAGTACTACGTTGATGACACCTTCACCATCCTGGATCACAGTTATGTTGACTGTTTCTTACAGCATCTCAGAAGTCAGTAACCTACCATTCGATTCACCATGGAAACTGAGAAAGACAGCAAGATCACCTTTCTCGACATGTCAGTTATGAGGGAACCAGACAGATGCCTGACCACTTGTGTCTACTGAAAACCAACTCACACTGATCAGTACCCTCAATCAGTAAAGCACAGTATTATTAAGTGTTTGTATGACTGGGTGAAATGTCTCATGACAAAACCATCAGTCAACTTTGAGGAAAAGCAACATTTGTCATTAGTACTTGTTTCAAACAGTTATCCCTCCTCCTTTGTACAGAAGGTTACAAAAACAAGAAACTCCTCCCCAAGTAGAGAGTCTATGAGGCAGTCCAAGTCCACAGCGGTTTTGCCCTATGTAAAAGGTAAATCAGAGCCTCTTCGCTGTTACCTACAACAATTATGAATCCACACTGTCTTCGAGTTCAACACAACACTTAAAAGGCATCTAGTATGACCAAAGGACACTGTCAATCCAGCTAGACAGGACAGCATGGTTTACAGGGTTCCCTGTGAATGCGGCAAATCTACATTGCTGAAACAGGAAGACCTATGCAAGAGAGGACAAGAGGGATATACATTTAGCCCATGCCCAGACCTCTGCTGTTTCTAAGCATGCCAACAAGACTAGCCACCACCCACTTTATTGATTAGGACTCACATTGGTACACCAGAAGAGTCAAGGAAGCTAAGATTTCACATAAGAATTCACCCTGATAACATCAACAGGGATAACAGAATTGAAATCCCTGAAGTGTGAATACCAACTATCAAGAAACACAATGAGAGACCAGTACAACAGCAAACCACCAAGGAAACAACTTGGAGTCAGACCTCTTTGAAAACCAGAACTAACCATAACAATGGGGATAAAAATCCACCAATGGCATTAGATCGCCATGATACAAATGATGAAGACTAGCAGTAAGCATTCAAAACATCCCAAGTGACTACACTGTGAGACAAACCAAAAAAAACTATTGATTTTAAGTTAATTCAATACTTCTACAGAGATACTAGGTGAATTTTGTTAAAATATTGTTCCCGGTACCCCATTCTTGACTTCATTTTCAATGAGTGATCATGCTTTAATAAATTTAGTTTACTTTTTTCATGTGTCTGTAAGGCAGAGATGCCCTCTTCCAGCAACCAACAAGAGGTTTCTACACAATGTATTAGCAAGTACACTGGAACCAAAGAAAAAGAAATCCAGAAAAACAGGTATAGATTGGTAATTCTTAAGTGTGGTACAACATACATCACTCGAAAGTTAGCTTGTCAAAAATGTGCCACAAATTTTCAACTTTGCAACACCTTGATGAGAACAGTTCATTCCTCAAAACTGTTGGCACCAAGTCTGTGCACTTGTTTAAAGTTGCAGCAGATGCTAAATGCTATTCTTAGTGTAGTTTCTGTTTTAATAATATAATCTCTATTTTCTTTTTATGAATAGAAACCTTTAAAACCAAAAAGAAGGAAAAAAGTCGGAAGCTAGTACAGAAGGAAAGATACAAAAAAAGGCCAAGTAAGGATGAGAAAAAATCCAGCAAAGATGGACATAAACCCCACAAGGACAAATTAAAGCAAAAACGTCCCAACTTGTGAGAAAATGAAAATGTGCATGCCTTGGCGTTGCATCACAAATGAGTGCATCCATCTTTCATGCTTAGCTTTTCACTCTGTGATCATTTGTTGGATTGCAAGGAAGAATAAATGCTCTATGTGAAATAAAGCATCCACCTTCAAGCCCGCCGACTGCTTCGAATTGGTACCAAAAAGCTACTGTTTTTTATAAGTGCCATCCTCAAGGAAGAACAGATCACTTAATTTGATTATTTTACATTACCACTATAGAAGTACAGAAAAAGTGAACTATTTTTCTACACAGAGACATTTTGGCTCTTTGTATACAGTTATTTCATTGAATTTGCGTTACCTGGTTATTGTCTCGAAGTAGAGACAAATTAGTACATTTATTGTTACTCAAATATTTTTTTTTTACCTTCTTGGAAGGTTGAGCCTTACATAAAATTAAAATTACTCTCAAGTATTATAACTAATAGTTATTCTGAGTTACTATTATCATTAAATTAAACCATTAAATAAAATATCTCAAGTAAACCTCAGTTACATTTAAAAGAGTTATTGTTAAGGGTAATAGTAACTGGCTTTTGAGTATAGCACTGACCAAGACATTCTAGGTGCCTTATGGGCTGGGAAGGATTGAGGACCTCATGGTCCTGTACAAGAAATGGCTACTTCTTGTACTTATATTTAATATATACTTATATTTAATAACTTTGTTATGAAACAAAAGCAACTCTGGAAATTTGTTCTAAGAGTTACAATTCCTTTATTGAACACCAAAACATGATCACCTCTGGCTAAACTGATTGCTTGTTGCAAACTCAGTACAAAAGAGCTCTTGTGGCACACTTTTGAAATCACTATACTGAAGAGTGAGGACTGAAGTCAACTTTCTTTCATAAAATACAGTCAAGTATATACTGAGATTGTCCACGGATTGTTATATTAGGAAAAAGACTCCAGTGTTACTTTCCTTGCCATTTCTCCTATTTCCCTTGTGTATGTACACTTGGGGGTGCCTTCATTACAAATATGGTTCCCTTTTACATGTTCCTTCATTTTTTGCCTGTTAGAGGAGACTGCTGTGAGATCCAACAACAAAGTCAACAAAATGAGGTTCTGCAATAATAAAACAAGATAATAATGACTTGGTGCATTATTTACCATGATATAACATTTTAAAACTTATTTAACCCAAACAAAATTCACTTCAAATAATTTTAAACATACTGCTTGTCTGAGATTATGCCAAAAAAAGAGCAACAGTGCATGGAATCACATAAGAAACCAAGCAAAGTATTGACAGGAGATAAAAGAGCCACTCTCAAATGATCAGTTGTTGTGATACAGAAAATGGGCCTTATGTCTGGAAGCTGAAAACCAAAGTCTGGATACAGAGGACAAAGAAATGAGGATGGGTGAAAAAGGAATGAGAGAGATAAAGAAGAGAAACGAAATTCAAATAGATGATGAAAGACTTGCAAACTTTCCTTTTTTTTTGTTTTTCTTTTTGAGATATTCAAACTGAAACTCAATAACCCTTTTAACCCTTAGACATCTGTTTATTGTAAAATTTGTAGACATTTCATGAATTCAAATGACCTGTTTATTGAGGTTAGCCTCAATCTTTCACTTGAAAATCAAATAAGAAACACAAACTGACAATTTATTCAATAATCATTGTGAATATAAGCTCACCACAGTCTGGTGTAACAAAGCCGTGACGGACCATAAAGTCAAGAACTACAAGAGCGCAGTTAGGCTTAAATTCATCTGTTGCTATTTTTTCCTTCACCTGTAAAAGAAAAATCAAACTTTTTACTCAAAAGGACAAAACAATGTAAACTTAAGGAATGTTCTGTTCAAAATTCTCTTCACACTTCTATGACTATTTAAACATTCCAGGGAAAACATACCATTGAAGCCTCTAGTTTTTTTTTATTTATTCACAAAATTCTCTAGCAGTTTAACAAAGAACTTTGCAATTGAATGCAAGAAATAAAATTGGTCAGAATATACCTAAAACTAACACTTGTTAACTTAACTTCCTTTATGACACATTAGGAGTAACTTCCCTGATGCAATACCCACCACGTTAAGGAAGAAGTAAACTAAACTAATAAATACAGGCTGCAGGTACCTTTTCCATAGGCCAGCAATAAAATTCACTAACTTCCCCATCACTGTTGATTGGTTGAAAGTCACGAGGGAGTTTCAAATCACAAACAAACTGGACTTCAGGAAACAATCCTCTCTCATCTTCAAAGAAGTAGCTGGTAAAAAAAATTAAATTAAACTATCACAACCTACTGACAATATCTTTCAGTTACTCAGTAAATATCTTTTCTCCTTTGTCTAAATGATCAACAAAGGCAAAATAAAGAAATGTTAAGAAAGAACATTTAAGTTAAAAAGACACTGATTCAGAAGTGTTTTGATGGTGTGACATTATGATTGTTGACATTCACTCAAATTATGGAAAGTTTTCATTCCCTACTCATTCTACTGGAAATTACACTCAACACATGATGGTATACATCACTAAAAAGGGAATTTTAAAACAACTTTATTTACCTGACACAACCAGCTGAGGAAGCTGCTTTTGAAAGTTCTTCTGGTATCGATGCTTCTTCAGCACATTCCCTTATCAGTGTCTCCTGAATTCCTTCACCACAGGTTATACCTCCTGCCACCTAACCATACACAGAAAGACCAGGTAAGCTTACAAATATTAATTAAAAGGTAAAGGAACATTTCAAAATCTAGTCGATAAACTAAACAATTGAACAAATTCTGAAATGAGAATAAAGATTTGCTTATTACACTGAGATTTCCCAGTGTGAATTTTGCAATTTGGTATCTCAGCACAGAGCTGATGACTACAAAAAAATATCAATATGGCATCAACATTATTACCTGGCAGAGAAAACAATAAAAGTTTGTTGTAAAAACTCTCACAGGAGAAAGTAACCATAATACAGAACAAAATCAATGTTTTTTCATACAGTTAAGAGAAAACTTTGTCTATTAATCAGCAATCAAGCAACATCTTTCAGAGTGATAAGAAAACAGAGAAGAAATATCAGTGAGAGAGCTTACCAGGAGCTTGCCACTAAACCTCTTTGGTCCTGTCAGCATGCCCTTGTATGCTTTATTTCAAAAACAAACCAGATTGTGGATTGCATTATGAATGATCAATGATTATTTGTCAATTAATTGTCTTTTAAGACAAGAATGTGACAAGACCAAACAAGTACAGTGAGACAAGACCAAACAAGTACAGTGAGACAAGACCATTACATAATGGTGAGAAGATATTACTAAAACGCTAATTTATATAAATTATACTTTCAGTGATTAACACTCTTATTAACAAACATTTTTCAGTGCAAGACCTGATTAAATCTTAGATAAAAATTCAGTGCTAGTAACGGTAATTGTGAAGAAGAGCTCCCCAAAAAAACCTGTCGGCCAACTGTCGGTCAACTGTCGGCTGACACTTGACCGACAGGTTACCGACAGCTAACCAATGTATTACACATGTTGGATTTTGTATCAAGCGAAAACCAAGAGAAAACATTAAGGTTTGTGTTAACGTTTTACCAACAAGCTACCGACAGGTTACCGACAGGTTACCGACACATTACCAATAGTCGGCCAACAGGTAGCCTATATTTCAGGTAAAACCTGTCGGCCGTCTGTCGGCCAACTGTCAGCCGACAGACGACCAACTGTTGGCCGACTGTCAGCCGACAGTTGACCGACAGTCGGCCAACAGGTTTTTTGGGGAGCTCTTCTTCACAATTACCACTAGTTACAATAACTCTGCTGACAAAAAAGGCAATACTCATGATCACTAGAAAATAATAAGCTACAGCTTACTGCTGGTTTATTATGAGTTATTTGCTGAAAGAGCAAACAGCTTTATCACACCTCACATGTCTCCATTGATTCACTTAAAAAAAAAAAAAACAATTAGATGTCATAAATCTAGAATGTAATAATGAGTAAGCCAGCATGTTAAGTCAACTGCTGATGGTCTGTCATTATTAAGCTGACTTGGCTTGAACTATTTCAACTTATCCTAATAGGAAATAGCTCAGAACTAAATATCCTGTGAATAGTACTTTTTTCCCTGGTTAGAGACACTTACAATCTGATCAAGTTTGCCAGGCCAGGTTTGTTTTGTAGAACTTCTTCTTGCTATCCACATTAACATTTTCCCATTTTCATCAACGAAATATCCATTTACATGAACACCATACTGCACAGTTCCAAGCAAACCTGAAATACAATACCACAAAAGATACCAAAATAACAAGATGCAATGATGCTTGTATTAGGAAGAGACTTGTGGGACTCTTTCCAGTCAGTAGTGAATTGGATAAAATGTTTCTACAGATAATAATATAGAAAGCTGTATCATGAACAACAGTTGGGCAAGCAACTTATACAGAATCAAAAGAGGGGTAAAACAAGGCTGCCACTATCTCCTTATCTTTTCTTTATGGCGATCAAAGTTCTTGCAAAAAATAAGAGAAAAAATAGAGACAATGACAATATTAAAGGCATCTTTGTCGTAGGATATGACTTTAATATCAGACTGATCAGAGAATTCCCTAACAGCTGCTCTCAATTTAATTGACAACTTTGGCAAAGCTTCTGAACTCAAACAGCAAGAAAACAGAAACTCTTTCGAAAGGTATCAACAGTGGGAAGGACAGAAATATCCTTCCAGAAAGAGATGGAGACAGCAAAAAAAGCAAAGCAAAAAAATGCAACATTGGAACCTTAGGCATTTGGCTATCAACAGATCACAAAGCTAATTGGTAACCATTCTGTTAATCTACACTAAAGAAAAAATAGAAAAAGTCCAAAATTTCCAAAACAACAGGAAATATTGCAGAATAATTCTCTTGAGTAAAATCATGGCTCTAAAATGCCTTTTGCCTCCCAACCTGCTTACATTTTAACCCCCTACAATCAAATAAGGAAATAATTCATGAAGGAACCACTGACGTTATTCTATAATTTTTGAGTGGAATAGAAAAGACAACAACAACAAACAAAGTGCAATGATGAATGACTATGCAGGAGGTGGTTTAAAAATTATATACATTTAATCTTTTATCAAAGCCTTAAAAGCCAAGATCTGATGTAATCTTTACATCAAAAACAGTGAAAAAAATCTTTGGCAACCCTGAAAATTTTAATAAAGAAATTCTCCTTTTAGGTCAGAAACTAATTTTATGGACACATAACCTCCAAAAGCCAATTTCTGGAGCAAAGCATTCAGCACAACTCACTTGGAAAAATTGACAATCAACTATTTTATTCAAAGTACAGTACAACTATAGTATTAGTAAAGTACAACACCTCAATGATGGTGATAAAAACTTTCTTGCTCTACAAGACATTATGCCTTTCACACAAAATTTATGGAATTCATGTGGCAGAAATTTTAACACAAACATCAACAACAATTATGTAAGCAACAATATTAATGAAGTCTGAAAAGGATAGATATACAATGACTGTAGAATCAGACCAAACTGTGTAAATTGGAGTACGGTCTATTAGTAAGCCTAAAGTATATAATTGTACATAGAACACAAAACTTTGAGAATTCCACTTTAAATTTTTGCATCGACACATCCCAACAAATGACTTCCAAACTAGAAAAATACCGGTAGTAAAGGAGAGCTATCAATTAATGCCCTTTCTATAATGAGGATCTTGAGAGCTTCTTCCATTTCTTTTGGTACTGCTCTTGACTAGATGTTTTCGGGAAAGACTATTACTTCTGCTAAAACACCATCAAATTGTACCTCATAACACTGTTTTAAAATAGACTGTGGCAGAAGGACTAAGATCAAATCCATCCAAATGTACATGTCAACTTGCCTTTTGTTTTCTAATAGCTAGATCTTTCATCCAGCACTACAAAACAAAATTTGTTACTAACTTAAAGCTAAATGGTTTTCTTCTTAGGAAACTTGTTTTAACTCTTAGTCTCACAAGCAATAAACAACTCAATTGCATACTTTTTGTGAAAGATAAACTTAAGTACGGTAGATTAAAAGTAGGTTTTGTATGGTTTCTCCAGCTCTGATAAATTACAGATTTTCCTGCCAAAGTACAATAACTTTGAAAAAAAAAATGGATGATGACCCTGTGGTTGATACTATGGCATCAAAGTGTATATGAAGTAGTCTTATTATTCTGCTAGTTGCCATTCACATCTCAAAAACACCTCTGTTTAAGTTTGCTATTATCTAACAAGAAAGGTAATTTGAAATTAGTGGTTAGCTTTTTGGTTTCTGCAGTTTGATTTCATGGATCAAATGGTTTACTTGGCTTAATGCCAAAGAAAGTTCCCGGTGGCCATTAATATGGGCAAAGTCTGTCAGTTGCTCTGCCACTTTCTCTGCCTCTGATATTGTCCTAATAGCTGGTTGTTTCAACTCAGGGTCACATTCTTCGTTCCCCCCAGAAGACCTTTCATCAATTTTAGGGGCTCTCTCATCTGCTAAGCTATTTGCAACCTCCCTACTTTCTTCCTTCTTCTGATTAAGCAGCTGATCACGTAATGACTTCCTCCAGTTTGGATCAGAGCTTTCAATGATACCAAGGCATACTTTGAGTTGATCCTCTGCCGAGATAAATGCTCCAGCATCACAAGAGCTGATCCTGTTGATTAGTTCTTGAAGCTGCTGCAGCTCATCTTCTCCTTCAAAAGGATCATCTTCCTCCATGAGTTCTTCTGGGTAGAGCCTTGTCTTCTTGAAACATCTTTGGATTGTTTCAGGAGACACCTCATCCCAAGCTTGTCGTCCCCACTGGATGGCCATAGAGATATCTATGGACTTGACGATCTCACTGGTGCTTTCGCCTTGACTCACCTTGGAGCACACATAGCGAAGCAACCGCTTTTTGTACTTCACTTTCCAGTTTGCAATTATACCCGCCTCAAGGGGCTGAGTCTTTGATGTTGTGTTACTAGGCAGGAAATTAATGCCAATGTTCGAAAACTTCTCAGCCAAGATAGGGGAGTGGCATGGAGCATTGTCCAAGAACAGTAAGATAGTTCTCTTCTTTCGAATCAAGGTTTCATTAAGTTGGGACAAGACATCAGCCATTATTTCTTTTGTCATCCATGCTTTTGAGTTTGCAAAATAGCAGCATTGATAAGGTCTTTTAGAATCATTTAAATTCTTAAAACAATGTGGCTTCAAATATCTACCAATCACAATTGGGTCTTCCTTTCCTCCAGCAGCATTAACAAAAAATGCCCATGTAGTTCTCTCATTGGCTTGCTTTCCACCACTACATCGTTTCCCCCTTTCAGTTAGGCTGGGTTCAGGTAATCCTCTCCAAAAGCTCCCTGTCTCATCCATATTCCACACATCCTCTGGCTTCCATCCTCTGATGAACTGTCTGACCTGTTCATTCCAGCTTTCAATAGTCGCCTCACAAAGGTCTCCATTCTCGCCTGCTTTGATCATATTGTGAATATTGTGCTGTTTCTTGAATGACTCTAGCCACCCATTAGATGCAGCAAAGCCACTAATGCCCAATTTTTCTGCAATCAACAAAGCTTCCTCTTGAAGCATTGTTCCTGAAACAGCAATATTTAAGTTTCTGCAGATGACATACCATTGCAGTAGTACTTCATTGACTTTTGAGTACCTCGCAGAACGGACTCTCTTTTGCTGATTTGGCCGAGAATTTCTTTCATATAATGCTAGTATTTCATTTCTTTGTTTTAAGATTTTATGTGCTTGTGTTCTCCCAATGCCAAATTTTTCAGCAATTTTACGGTATCCCTCTTTTGGATGATCTTTCGCATACACTATCATCTCAACTCTCTGCTGTAGGTTCAAGCATTTCCGCTTCTCCTGGACTTTTTCTTTGGTGCCACCTTGACTTTTCATTTGAGATGTACTTGACTTAACGTCTACATCTTCTTCTTTTCTTGTGAGTGAGACTTCTGTTTGGTTGATTTCTTCCTCGACACTTTCGTCGCCGGTGTTATGTGAACATGTCAAACAAAAGGCTACACTAAAGCCAGCCTTCCAGTTCAGCGTTTCTTCAGGCGCCAAAACAGAGCATTCTGCCCTGTTACAGACATACGCTTGGCAGCTTAAACAGTGATAATTTGTCTTTGCTTTACAAATCCAGCAAAGCGGCATGACCGTATTGATGTGCAAAGAAAAAAAAACTGAATTAGACGTTCCTTATGATCGATCGCGATTTTAATTTCTAACTGAGAGACGCTAAAACGTCGGCTAAATTAGGTCAACCATAAACTTCATTGTTTAATTTAATTGGTGCAGTATGAAGTTAACGCTTCCGTTTCCCTTGTGTAGCTATCTTGTACGAAAACCAGGAACGAGTAAGATAGAGCAGCTGAGGTCAAAATGTTGGTTACAGTGAATTCTTTCATCAGAGGATATCAATGGGAGTCACGGAAGATAACTTTTCGCTCAAGTGAGAAACAGACAATGTGAAGGATTCAATTGATGTAGTAGTTCAAGCGGCAAAAGACAAGGCCGACAAGGCGAGCACATCAGTGACCTTCATCAAAGGACAAAAGCATTCCTCGACGGACGATCCGATGTACGAACACACAGGGTTACAAAACAGCGGTCAAATCATAATATATGTCGTGTAAGCTGAATGACTTGTCTCACATCATAATATACTGGCTCTAGGACTGCAATGATCAAATGATAAAAATTATAGGAGCCTTGATGTACAACGGTAGTTTCCAAATTTTATTTACGTATTTAGAGGGTGCCATTAAAAAGCACTTGAACGTTTTTTCTTTAAAATGTTTGGCATAATGGCAAAAAATGAAAATTAAGGATAAATACTGGCCTTTTTTAAAAGTAGGCTGTCCTTTTTACTTTTTTTTTCAGTATTAGATATCAGAAGAAGTAATCTTCCCAAACGCTTAATATCCTCATAGAAACACACCTATCAATCAACACATTTCAGTTCAATGCACTGCTCTCAAGCTTTGTCAAAATGTTCAAGGGTTGAGGCCTAATAAGGTCCATTCCCAAGATAAAGGCAAAACATCAATCAAAAATTAAGATTACTGACCACTTTTTTTGAAAATTTCAAGTGAGGTAACTCCTTAAACATGTGGAAATTGTGAGAGGAAATCTTTCAAGCATACCTTTGAACTTGTTGAAATACCCTAAGTAGTACTGGTTTTACTGAGTATAGTCATCAAGGTTTTTTTCCCAGGGAAATCAATGTCAGATTTGTTCAAAGACCATTCACCCATTCTAATTGTCTAGAAAGTAGCCTCGAGTCCTCTCAAGTTTATTTGACATAATATATCCAGGCTTTTGTGAGATTCAAAATTTCACATGTAAACAAAATTATTTTGTGCTCTTATCTAATGATGAATGGTAACAACAGTTACAAGATTAACATCTCACCTGAACAACTTGAGTGACAAATTTTATGTAATTGGGCATGTTCCTAAGCTAATGGAAATGTAGTTGAGTAAGTTTTTTAAAGCAACCATTGAATTCATGAAAGGGAAGCATGTAAACTGAGGCAGTATTTATGTCCTTGAAGTGTCATGACCACAACCTCTCAATAAAAGCAAATCTCACAGTAATTCATTAAAGGGAAAAAATTTCAGGACTTGAACAACTAACCGCTTAATACTGGTCTGCTTAATACTGGTCTTATTGATAGAAGTGTCTTCTGATTACTGATTAATTTAAGGTGGATGAAAACTCTCATTGGAACTTGGGCAACTGTCTCTCTTATACAGGGTGTCTGCTATGATATAGGGTTTGTTCCATACAGGTTTCACTGCACTGGAAACACCCATACCAATAAACATGGACTCCACTCCCTATGACATTCCTGCCTAGGAAATTTCCAAAGAACCAAAGAATATTTCTAAACAATGCACATCCAACCACAAAAATATTAACAGTAATTACAGTTCATTAAAAAATTACAACAAATACACGTTATAGAATTATCAACAGTCAACTTGTATGTGAGACAGGACTCAATACTTACAAGTTGCTGACCTCTCCATCATAAAGCTTGGTTTGGTATCAAAGGAAGCCATTACAGGGTACATCTTTATATCAAATAATATTAATAATAATATTTACTGTATGTAATTTTGATTTAATAAGAGACAAACACCTACAAACATAGTTTTCAAGCACATGTTATTTACAAAAAAGGAACTTTAATTTGTTTTTTCTAAATATTAAACCTCATCCATACACAAGGTGATTACAAGAATGTAAAACAGTTATGCAAACCTGAGATGCTGTTGAAGATTTGCATAGCTGTCAATACTTTGCCTAGCCCCTGGAGTGTTTAGATGGTTGTTGCTTTTGTCAAATATTTCCACGAAACATGCCTAAATCTAAAATATGGCTTTGTTCATATACTCTCATCTCAACACACTAACAATATAAGAGTATGTGTAGTGTCTCAGTTATTCTTAAAAAAAAAAAAAACCTATCAGAATCAATGACCACATGATGGTAATAACTATCTGGTTTGTGACTCTTTCTCAGTCCTTGGCTTCAACTGACAAGAAAAAAAAAACCTTAACCTTGATGGTAATCACCATCAAGCTCCATTGTGTTCTTAAATTAACTATCTATGAATCTAAAATAAAGCTTAAAACAAATTGCACTTGCCTCATTTCTCCACCCTCTTAAAGTGCTGAACACATCTTTTAATCTCAGACTGTTCATAACCTCAGCAACCTTTTGACTTCGTTCCGTAAAAGTCTTAAGTTCTGGAGCCAAAGTAACATGACTAATTTCACCACTGGTTCCTGGAACCATCACAAATATGTCACCATAAGACTTTAAATAACTGGCAACTTTTGGTGAAATATAACCCACTTGGACATTGTCAACAAGGAATGGTTTGCAAAGTGACTTACAGGAACCTATGAAAAACATACAAGTGAGATATCAATGATGAATATTCAGGACATTTTTGTGTTAAAATATATCAAAATGTATTGTATCTAAAATTGTGGTTTAAAGTAATGTTAAGGACCAAATGGTGCCTGAAGTTACTCTTAACCCTTCAAACCCTAGCAGCAATATGCATATTCTCCATATTGTTCTTGATACAGTTCCTAGGGTGCTGACAGAAGAATTTACTGAACAATCAAAAGCTTTCCTTAGTTGGTAATCACTTCCTTTATTTGCATGACCTTACTGTTTGATGTAGGGATGATATTGTGTGGAGAAACAGGATGCTGGTCACTCTTGGGGGTTAAAGGGTTAAAAGACACCTGGCTTTCACAGGATTTGAGCCTATGCCTTGCAGCAGTAGGGTGCTACTACTACAACTGAGCTACCTACAACGGAGCCATGATGCCATATTTGAGCCTGTGTCTCTCAGACAATACATGGGTGCTACTACCAACTGAGCCATGAAGCCACATGTGAGCAGCAGGGAAAACTTTCATGCCGAGAGACGCATGGGGTCAGTAGTTAAAAACATGCTCAGATGCATGTTGCAAACAATAAATTAACTAATGCAGCAGGAAAAACAGCAACCGCAATTAAAAAATATTGTTGTCACTTTTCTTCTAGTGCATGAAACTGAATTTCAAGTTTTCAACCCTTTCCTGAAAAATTGTCCTATCGCATTCTAGAGATCTAATTCATCTCTGGACTTGTGAGTAAAGTAATGAAAGAACAATTTTTTACCACACAGTTTTCTAACACTTTTGTTGCACCACGAAAAGTGACATATCTTCATGTTATTTTTGATTTGCCCTCTGATGGGAAACAGAGAAGGTCGACGCAAGTGGTCCAAATTAATTGCATTTGCTGTTTAGTTCAAACCTAATTAAATTTATTCATAATTGATTTTCACAGATTAATCTCAAAAAGAAAGGCACGAATAAATTCACTTCCCGTGTAGCACTATAAATATGGAACTTGCGGTTGTATAACGACCTACCTGGGCGAGAGAAGTTATTCAGTTTATGAACAAGGCTTAGAATAGCTTCAGACCAAAAGGCCATTTTGCAATTGTTTGCGAAGGATTGGTTACCACAGTATTCTAAGTGGTCAGTCAACCGCATCCCACGTGTCAGAATGGAAGTAAACAGACTTAAATGGTCTTTCCATTAACACACACAAGAATCAGGTGCTGAACGATTGTTAATGACAAACTAGTAGGGGGATTTAAGAGGCATGTCAGAAAACGGTCAAGATTCCTCAAACACCCATCAGGACTCCATACTGTTGTCTTTGCTACAACGTAGCATAAAAGCAAAGGAATATTCTCATTCGCCGTATAGTAAGTTTCGTGTTGGTGCAGCCTTGTTGACCGACACAGGAGAAATCATAGATGGCTGTAATGTGGAAAATGCAAGTTATGGTTTGTCGATCTGTGCAGAGAGAACTGCTCTGGTCAAAGCTGTTAGTATGGGGTTTAAAAAATTCCCAGCGGTTGCCGTAAGTACTGATATGGAAGAGTTTATCGCTCCTTGTGGAGCGTGCAGACAATTTATTTCTGAGTTCGGATCAAGTTGTGACGTGTATCTTGTGAAGTCGGATTTATCTTACAAGAAAATCAATATTTCAGAGCTGTTACCATTAGCATTCACATCTGCAGAGTTAGAGAGGGCAAGCATAACAAAATAACATTGATTTACCACAATTTCTTGGACAAAGACAGCGGGAACGGACAATTGCGCAACATGATCCCCGGCGTGCACGAGTTTGGTCTACCTGGATATTCTCACGTGGGTTTCACTAAGTATTGTTTCCAAAGAGAAGCGGGTTTATGAGGCAGATTAAAACAAATTACAGCAGTATTGCTTTCATTTATATTACACTAAGTACTTCTTCAACAAAGCGAAGGGCTTGTCTTTTAAACGAATGCTAACTTTTCACGCTGTTTTGGGAAATCAATGTACAGGATCGATATAATTACACGAGCCCTTACTCTTGTTATCCAACTGAATTGAGTACAGTACGAATAACACGCCAATGGATATTGTTCGGTTATTTTTGCATTTGGTTATTTAGCACTGCAAAAAGACTTGTTTGATAAGAAATCCATAAAAATAATATAAAGAAGTTAATAAACAACTTATTAGACGTTTTGGTGTGTTGTATCGCTGAGTATTTCTACTCGTTGTTGCGAATCAAAATACAAACAAATGTGTTACATCAAAACAACTAATAAGATATATATATATATATTTATATATATGTATGTATGTATGTATGTATGTATATACTCAATATTGATTAGTTTCCAGTTATTATAGTAATGGTTTATACCTTATCTATGACTGAATTGAAAGGAATAACTAGGTAACCAACCAGTGGTTACAAAATAACCACTGGGTAGTTGAGAGTAATCTTGACTTTGCTAAGATAAAATCACTGAACCTAATCTGTTGCCAGAGATCCAGAATTGCATTTCTTTGCTTTACTATGCCCTGTGAATGGTTTAAAGACTTGCATCACTTTCTAAGCTATCCAGACTTACAACTAAGACTAATAGCAACTTGGTTACTCTCTTCTTAGAGCCATCATTTACTTTAAGTTCTCACAGGCCTTTCTGTTGGTGTTTCCCTTCATTTTGATGGGCCAGTGTGAATTCTTGGGTTCTATTTTTGTAACAGTTACCCTTAAAAAGTATTTTGACCTTGTAATTAATTTTTATAAGAGTGTTAGAATTTATGTTTATAAAAGAGGGTCTGCTATTAAAATGATTGGCACAATATATATTTGAGGGTATTTCAGAAGAAATGTGTATTTTAGCCCAATTTCGAAGAGCTACTTCCATAGATGAAGCTTTTAACATAGTCATCTTTTTGTTATTCTTATTAAAACCACAATTAATGAGTGTGTTCAAAAAAAGTGTCATTCTTAGTAATTAAATTCGTAAGCTCTTGTGAAACAGTACATGGATTAATTGGAATAGTGACAAGTTAGTTGAAAAAGAAGGAAAAGAGAAATACTTGTTGTAGATGAGTGGTGGACACCAGTATATGTGAAAGTTCATTTCAAAAAATAGACAAGATTGGACCAGTTGGCAATGTAGTGGACAAAACAGGTCAAGATGTATTTCACATCCTTAAAAAACTTTAGTGTGAATAAACATGAAATCTTTGGAAAACAACCCATATTGGCATTAACCCTTTAACTCCCAGGATCTGATTGTCAATTCTCACCTCTAGCTGCTACATATTTCCTTGTAAATTGGTTGCAAGAATTTTGTGTTAGATCAAGATAACTTTTACCTGATATATGTGAGAACTCTCGTGACCTGTTTGCTTGATAGTGGGTGGATATTGTCGGGAGAAGTTACATGTGAATCACTTCTGGGAGTTAAAGGGTTAACACAATATTCAACAAGCAACTCCTAAAATGCAAGAACCTTTCTGAAGTCACGTAATTCAGTTTTTAATTTTAAGTATAAAGTTTTTGTCTAAGGAACACAGAGATACTCTTTAAAGGATGTATCGTTGCTTTTATTGATTTGATAGCCTTTAATTTAGAGCCTGGTATTCATTAGCATATTCCCTTTTCAGTTTGAGCTCAAACAAGATAATTTTTGATCAAGAAGGAAAAGAGTCTCTGAAAGCAGGCAACACATCCATCTATTCTATTAATCACACCTGATGGTAAAGGAAATGCTGTTTTTCTGGACAGTACATCTCGCAGAAAACCTACCAAACAGTCACTGAAGACTTTCAGAACAAAACCATTGCTTACTTGGGGAGCTGGGAACTGAAAGGCTTAATCCACATTGAAAAAATAGTAAGAAATCTAATGATAAGTGAGTGTCATGCAAATGAAGCTGATGGGCCACCATTATCAGAGAGGATGTTTTGGCTTAGATTGTCTACTTGAACTGCTCCTGTATCCTTTTCCAAGTTACTGTACATCATTCAGTCATTTTCCATAATAAATCCCCACCAGTGAGAGGTCCTTTGGATTCATAAAGTGTAGTTGACAAGGTTGTTATGGACTGTATACTGTAGACTTCACAAAGATGACATGAAAATCTAACTCCTTTACAGCCTGACATTGACCAAAATCCTAAACTTGGCTCTCCAATCTAAGAAGCTGTCCAGGAAGAAACAATAAAGAAAAATCAAAATATATGGGCAAAAAAAAGTTCAAATAGCTAACAACAATGAAAAAGAGAGTAGTCATTACCTCCTGCTCTTGATCCTTTTCCTTTGACTTAAGTTCTTCAAGAACTTTCTCAAATCGTAGCTATACAAAGAAAAAATTAAGGTCATATGAACCTTCACGGAATGAACAAACTAATTCGATTCATTTGCTACACCCATCCCCTCTTTGATGTTTTTCTCATCCCTCTATTGACTTCTCTGTGTTTTTAACCTTTATTCCTCTTTCTACATCTTTTTGTGGCTGTGATTATCCATCCAATTGGCCAGTTACTGTTGCAAAAGTTCACAAGAAAATATAAATGAGAATGGAAAATCTACACAATGAAGTGGAAGGATCTACCCATTTTACAATTACATTTCTTTGCATTCTTCATTCTGGTTCATTCCATCTCAACCCTAGTTAGCTGGGCCAGCTAAATTAAGCCTATTTGAGCTCATCAAGAAACTAGTCAATGAGTTTCAGGTCCAAAAAAAAGCCTTTTTTTCATAAATGAAGGGTTTACCCATTACACTGAGATACAGGAAACTAAATGAAAAATTAAATCTTCACTACAAGGTTCCTAATTATATGACATTATATGACAAAGACTGCCAAGAACAGAGTCCTGACATGGTACCTTGAGAAATAAGTTAGAGGCTTCTTTCACCCTAGTTTCCTGCTCTGTTATAGTTGCCCTGATCTCATTAAGCTTCTCTCTTGCAGAATGTATCTCAGACTTAGAATTGTCTTTACCTACTGCAAATTAGATAAAAAGAAAAACAAGCTTCAAAGTACATGGTTCAAGGGCAGCTTTCAAACCACCTTCCTGCTTTATTAACAAGTTTTTAACAGTTATCACTGGGATTTACCATCTGAACAACAGTGATGTCTAATGTTGCAACCAAAGATTAAAAACAAGGAAGTGGGCCAAGTATGACATTAAAACTGGGAAAACTGGTATATCAGAGAGACAAATATAACCAGGAAGTTACAAATTAAAGACCCTTCCACAAAGTGGCCAAAGAAATCCACTTAAAATTAACTATAGATATATAGTTAATATGTAAATTAACTACTTGTTTCTCAAATGAACAGCCTCACAAGGAAACCATGTTGATTGATTTGATTTTGCTGTTTGGCAAAAGTAGACTTACCATTTAATTCATTTGTATCATCTTCAATGTCTACATTAACATTTAAATCATCTGCATCATCTTCCTGTGTATCAGCAGCATCCTCATCACCTTCTGGCTCTTCATCACTACTTGCTTCTTGGAGAATGGCAAACAGTTCATTCCTGTCCTCGTCTTCACTACCTCCATCTTGCTCCTCAGTTTGTGTTAAAGATAGAGGTGAAGGCATTGAGGTGTTCAGTAATTCAGCATCTGATACAAGACTACACCAATACAATTCAATCAACATTGAACTTTAGTACCAGCAAGAAAAATACCTCCCTGAAAAAGATATGGTACTTACAGCACACTAAACTAACAAATTTGATTATGGCTAAATTGCTCTGTTATATCACACACTTAAGAAAGCAGTTTCCTTCTGCTCACTCCATGGAGTGGAGGGGTTACAACATCTGAAATATTTCATAATTTAACAATTATATCTATGCAAAACATGTGTTCTTGCATGTGATAATGTAGCACTTACCTTTCATCTTGTTTCTCTTCATCTTGTAAGACCTCAAAACATACAAAAAGTCAAGAAACAATATTCTACAAGTGTAAATAAAATATAGAAAAGCCTTCTTTGTTACCATACCGCCAGTAACTGTTGTATTTATAGATGACCTCCAAGCCCCCCACAAAAATCATAAGGCACAAGACATGGGGAACTGTGTTGGCTAACAAAGTAGCTACAGAGTCCTTGAAACACCCATGCCTAGGGATTCACATATTGGGAAAATACTGGGTGGATAAATCTCTGGCAGACATAAAATTTGATCTTCTTTTCCTCTTGGAGACTGTTCATGAATATCATAGTCTTAAATCTGCTTGGTAATTTAAAGTAAATCCACAGGATAAGTTAATTTGATGGAAAGGATATTCACATGAGAGGCACTCAAATCAGTCCTCAACAAACGCTTGACCTCCTTTTCAACTTCTGGTGACTCCACAATCTATTGAAAATAAAATTCATTGGTTTAAAGCTTAATGCATAACCCCTACATGTTACAAAAAAATAATTAATTTAACATTGCAGGGAAAGAGTCACAAATTTAAAGTGCTAGGCAGTTTTCAAAATAATTATTTTATAGAGGCCTTAAGCTCATATGTTGTACACAGAATCTAGTATTACTGAGTATCACATATCGTCATACGCTGATATTTTCTGTGAAACTAAGCAGTAGGAAACACAGCAATGAGCATGCTAAAAACTGTTAAAAAACTATTCCACACCTTTTACCTCTCATCAGCCTCCTATCAGCCCCTTCATACCCATGTTTGCATGATATGGTGATGCATGCTTTATTGCACTCAACAAAACAATAAGCTGAGATTATTGAAATGGGTAGTTCATACTATATTAATTATTTACTAGTCCATTATCAATTTTAATGTGTCTTACTACCACAAGAACAGACCTTTTTCTTAGCAGTTTTTCGAAATCGTCGTTTGCGTACATTCTTCAGTGGACCAGTAACTTGAAGGATTAAAAGATTCACCAAAGTTAGTGCGTTTAACAATTTCAGCAAAGCATCAGAGATATTACTGAAGTTGCTCAAGTTATTCAAACATCAGTCATTCAATCTACCACAACAGTTCTTTTATGAGTCCTTCCACATGAAAGCTCAGGCAACTCAGTCATCAATAATCATAAATGAACATACTTCCATGATTCCAAATAAATCTCTTGGACTCCTTCTTAGGAGAAATATCTTCATCATCCGTTTGGTTATCATCCTCACAGCAAACTAACATCTAAAAAGCAAATAACAAGAAAAGTGCCTTATATATGGATGTATATTAGTGTATATACAATTACAGGTATCTACAGAACTTATGTACTCTGTAACACACAAAAAGTATTCAGAGATTAGAATTTATATAACCAAAAGTTACCACTTACACACAAATGAAATATAACTTGGCTGATCAGTTATCAACTGGGAAGTGATAATTCTGAATGGCAGATGGCCCTATTTTGAGACATCAGCATTTTAAAATTCATCTTACAATCACTTTAAAAAAGGGTAGCACGTATGTAAAAGCATCAGGTTTCCACACATCTGACACAAGATCTTAAGAGGAGGTGGTCAGAGCTTACAAACTCCAGGTTGGTGAAATTCAGAGTAGTTGAAACCTGACTATATCCAGACATACCCACACAGTTTACGTCAAGTGACCATCTTTTCTTTTTTACGATCTTGATGAACACAGAGATTTTTATAAATTGCAACCTTAGTACCTGACAGATATCTGCTGTCTTGTAAAAGCTCCTATTGTCCACTGTCTTGTGGGATTCTATCACACATGGCAGATCTACTAACTATCAAAAAAAGAGGCATGTGAGAACATTAACAATTTTCAGATGCAGTAAAAGGCTACTACTATCAGGGCAATACAAAGTTATTCTCCAAGTTTTGATCATACACAAAGTCAAAGTCATTTTTTTTTTTATAAAACACTCTTCCAGAGACTAATCAGACCCCAACTTACTGCCATATCATTACCAGTAAAATGAAATTTTTGTCCCAAAACATATCAGATTTGGAAAGTTTGGGGATTTCTTGGCATATACATCTGGACGTTTACTCATTTTTGCAGCATCTTCAACAAACAAAACAAAAATAGATAAAAACTTAAGCAATAATCAGATAAAATTAGAAGGTATAATCTTACCTTAGCTGATAGGGCTGCCCCATCAAATCTCACTGTTGCATGCCTGAAGTCAGCTGTAGAAATATCAAAAATAAGCAATGCCTCATTAGACTGAACTTATGACATTCACTAACATAACATAACAAACATGGCTCTCTCAAATGTAGTTAGTTATTAAAGACACTGGACACAGAGCCGTCTCTATCCATATAATTCATCTAGGAAATCATAAATGCTTTGAATATATTTAAATGAAAACAAACTGTATATTACATTGATTTCTATTGATATTCCAGCACTAGTTTAGGACAGTGAATTGATAAATAACAAGAATAAATAGAACATAAATTGATAAAATTTCAACTTGTCAATCAAAATCAAGGAGTATCATTTTTGTGTTTTCAATTCATCAATCAATAAATCGTTACAACCCTTCAACTCCAAGTGATTGATGTGTAACTTCTTCCTACTATATCCATACATTATTCAGCAAACAGGAAATGAGAATAATCAAACCTATCAGGTGGAAGTTGTTATTTTGATCTGACACCAAATTTTTGTCACTTATTTACAAGGAAATATATAGCAACTAAAGGAGAGGATTGACAAATCAGATCTTAGGAGCTAAAGGGTTAAAAAAAGATCAATTTTCAAATATGTAAAAGAAGTCTTAATACTGTGATTTACTGAGTATCAGTAAATTGTGTTAATTGCTTTAATTTTATTAAGTAATATCCTAAGCAACTAACAGTCACTTGTAAATACAACTTACAACAACAGTCACATAATTTACTGTAAACTGACCTTGAAGTTCAATTGAAAGTCTATCCTTCAGTGTACCGTTTTGGATTGCAAGACGCAGAGGAGAGGCATATGCCTAGTGATTAAACAAAAAATGTTTGGCCTATCCCATTACATGGTTTAAGTTTCTAATTAGAGAGAGGAGCTGGAAAGATTTTTGTATAATCCCAAACCCTTTAAAAACAAAGCCTTGGTCCCAAGATGAATCGTTGTTTTCTCTAGCAAAGAACTGCATGCATAGTGAAGTCTAGGGTTCAACCTAAGTCTAATCAAGGAGTCCATTAAAATTTGACAAAAGAAAAGCAAACTCCACAAATAATTCAATAACTACAAATTCTGGTTCACTTATTCGTTAGGATTATTGGTAAATACAAGTAATAAAGATGCTTTTTCCCCGTGCAAACACCTTTCTGGAGGACCCTCCCTATAGATCTAGTTGACCCCACTTAGGTCCATATTGGAAGCTCAGTAAAATAATTTCGTGGTGGCCTGCCCAATTTTTGACAAGGTAAGATTTAACCTGTCTTTATCATGGCTATGAGGTTAAACTATATTAACCGACTAATTTTACCTGAGGAACACGTAAAATAACCTGGTTTTCTAATTCGCTTCCGTCACTCCGTGACTTCGAAGGCACCTGAGACATGATGGTCAGTCCGCCATTACTCAGGTCTGGGAAGTATGCTTTCCAGTGCCCCAGCCGAGTAGGTGTCACGCAAAGGCTTACTGTAAGAACTGAGATCGGACTACGGGGATCAGGGAACACTTGGTGCGCAATAACGTTGTCATGAGCAATTTCCTCCTCATTATTTCAAGGCTGAAGTAAACGAGAAGAAGAAAAAAATATAACATGAGTGAAACATTTTCTCAGGGTTTTAAACTAGTGTTCGATTTTTCGTTAAAAGGCCTCCACTCCTTCTGTCAAGAATGATTAATTCAGTTGTGAATAATTTGCCTCTAATTCCATTGAAAAGTCCCTTCAAAGCGACCTTTACTCTCATTTTTTCAAATTTTCTGTAGGGACTGCGACCATTTTCACAAATCATCGCCGAGAATTTGACAATTTGGTTTGTTCTGTGTTTCCCCACCACGTCTTACTTACCGCAAGTATTCTAACGATGAGTTTAAGAACAAACAAACAAACAGTAAACCACAAATCTATTCTCCGGACGGGGATCAAAAGCCGTAAGTAACTTAATACAATATCAAAGATTGATTTTGGAAATTACTTTGAATCACCTTGCAGTAAGAAAATTTTGATATAATTTTATTTTGTGGGCTTTAAAGTTTGAGGATGCAGATTATCAAATATGCAGTAAAAATGAATTGCTGAAGAACAACCTGAGGAAATCGGTCATTTTCAAGATGACATGAAAACGACTTTTTTTTCTATCTTTCTGTGTCAAATAATTACATGGCATCGATTTCCAACGATATTTTTGCCCAGGTTGTTTCGTCTCATGAATGATTCCATCTCTGGCACTGACACAAAAACCCGGAAACCGAGATATAGGTATCTGCAGTCTCCCTAAACCATACCATCATTTGTTTTGGAGCTAGACCAATCATTTTTTCTCTTGTTGTCCTATGCTCACGAAAATGAATTCAATTATCATATTGTATTTTTTTGTTTCGAATCTATAAATACAACAATGACTCCCTCGTTTTACTTTCACCCATTTATTTTTCCATTGCTTTTTGATAGTTCAGGTTACACGCAAACTGTCGCAGAACTGGAACGAATGGGGGTCGGTTGGTTCAATGTTGTCCAGAATTCGGTAAGTAGCGAAGTTAGTCAGATTATCATTTGCTACAAGCTCTCACCATGCGACACTTCAGTGCCAAGAGTTTGCTCTATTTGAAGTCGATCTTTTTCTTTTAGTTTTTCAATGCAATGGGGAGACAAATTTTGATAGATTAACTTCGCAAAAAATTTGACTTTAGACGTTCACAGCCAGCTATCTTGGTTTGACATTGATTTTCTTCTGGCAGTGTTTAGAGATAACTTGTAACAGAAGAACTAAGGCGAATTATGAAGGAAGCACATGTCTTCTAATCGATTTAACTTACACTCGATGTAGTACAACCGACAAAATTTCGTTATTCCTCTTTGCTCTCGGGTTCCTAATAGGTCATAAGTTATGTTTCCAGGAGCCCAGGGACTCCTGACGTTTCACATTCTCAATGAAATCACTCACATTGTTGAAAATACGCATCAAAAGGTAAAAGATTGTCTCTCTCTTTTTTTTTGCTTCTTTGTATCGGAATTTAAAATGCAACGTCAGAGTCAGAAGTACTGAGCTTATATTTTAGACTGCTCTGATTCTGTGGATGCAGACGACCTTACATTGAAAAAAGCTACAGGGGAACTTCACTAGGTTTTAGTGTAAACGAAATTTTCTTTTCATTGTACATAAAGAAATTCATGCTTACTTGCCAGATAAACAGACAGCTATGTTTATTGAAAAAAAAAGCTGAGATAATAGGAGCACCCTGGTAGATCAAAAACCTATCGTTTATTGCACCTATAGAGAATATAAACATTTAAGTTTATTTTGTAAAAGCAGTAAACCGCAGTTTCTATCAGTTTACCATAGTGATAACACACAAAGTCGAGAGAACACGAGCCAAGTTTATAAACCACTCGTCGCTGGTTCGTGATTTACAAATTTTTTTCGTGTTCTGCCAACATCCTGTGTGGGTCATTACGCCAATAAACTGGTAGAGAGTACCGTCCATTGCTTGACTAACAGATGAGTTTTCCACCAGTGAAAGTGAAATACAGTAACATTGAATAACACAAGGACAGACAAATAAAATCACAGCAACAAACTTTTTCATCGGGCGACTGAAAAGACTTAACAAAGATGAGTTTTCATAGCTGCATTCGCAGCCTTCCTACAGAATTAATTGCAAACATTTAATCATTATTACAAGAGATATTATATCAATACAAGTCAAAACTTAAGGGGAAATAACCAAGAGATGTCCAACATTATTTTCCTCTTACAGTCGACGGTTTGTAAATATCATTTTCTCAGACGAAGGGTTATGTACGGTGGAAACGTCAACTTACATTATCAACTCAGTTGATAAAACCAAATTATCTTGATATACCGCAACTGACACAGCACTCTAGTTTCTTAAGAAACTTACCCCTTTATTCATCTCTCGATTTTTAGATTTACTATGACCAACTGCAGAGTACCTCACAACTAAGCAACCTCCTTCTCCTACGCTAATAAGGAAGTCGATCCTCGAAAGTTATTGCCCAGGTCACTCTGCAGTTATCCCGACGATTCAGTCTTCAAACGATTGAAGAGAATTTCTTGATTTTCTCTCAGCGCACTATATGGAGCTCTGTTTTGATTGGTCTGTTGATAGTTAGTTCCCAGGCCTTCAGTATAAGGAATAGAGGCGTTTTCAACATGGCTGCTCCACTTTGGTTTTTCAATCGCCTTGTATATGTAGTTTGAAGTATTGGTTCATAGGTTTTGGTGCCGGTATGCAGAGGCAGCCCATACCACCCGCTAGAGGTCATAAGCAAAGGATAGTAAGTTCTACCAACGTACTGTTTTAAACTTTTAAAATGAAATTGATCGTGGAAAGATCTAGACAGAAATTGAGAAGTCCTAGCCGATGTAAGGATATCATACATTCCTCATAGCTCTTGTGTCTATTCATTTATTCGTTTATATCATTCTGTACAACGTTTTCTTCGATTCGTGCTTTGGTTCTGTAGAAGTCGTCGCTTGACTCTTAAAGGGGACGTTTGTCGAGCATCAAACCGAGGACGTTGTTCGAGAAATGTGTCGAATACTCAGTTGCATTTGAAGCCTAAGCTTTAATTTATTAATGTCAGAAAACATTTGGAGTAATCTATATGAAATATGTGTGCTCCTGGAAAACAGTGTAGGCGCATTCAGAAAAGTGAACCAACTCCAAAGTTAACTTCATTTCATCGTGTTATTATCAAAACAGAATAACTTTCAGCTGCAGGGTCAACTGTTCACATCCCTTACCCACTGTTTTGAACGAAAGATTGATGAAATGCGCATTAACTCTTAATCAGGGGTTTCAATAACTTTTTCTATGTGGCTTTTGATGGTGTGTTAGGTGTCTTTGCCTAGTACATTGGCTTTGAGGCCTCTTTTCCCTTGGGAGGTTTTAGAAGCATGCTAAACCGACAGTGGTTAGAAGTCTTACAGGCAGGGGCAGACTGCCAGTAACCAGCTTTCATTAAAACCCCTGCTCTTAATGGTTGTACTTTGTCCATTAGTGTTGTGATGATCAATTGGTAGTTGATAAATGGACTGAAATTTGAATCGTTGCAAGCTACTTCCTCCTGATACTCTTTAGTGAAAAAAATTTATGCAGCAACTCCTCTCCATCTCAAAGAGGAGACAATAGTACTGAACAGATAGAAGTTTTGTCTTGGTGTGATAAACAAAGTAAGATGAATTGTTCTTAATGTATGAGCCTGTGGCCAGTAATCAGTCAGTAGAGAAGGTCAAAGAAAGATCAGAATGGCAAAACTGTTGGGGGTCTGGAAAAGGAAATTGGAAGGGAGGCATGTAGGCATCATCTGCATTTTCAAAATTATGCGCAATGTTTGGCAAAACAAAGAAAACAACTGATCTATAAGATGGAACTGTGTGTCTGTTTTCTGATTGATCGTTTAAGGTAACAACTCATCACAGGGCTTATATTATGCAGTTCTTGGAAATTTTTGATATGTTGTTGGTAGGAACACTGTGGCTGGCTGCGTAAGCAAGGTGGCAGATACAGAAACTTGAGATCAAGATGGTTTGAACTGAAAGGAGATCAGCTGTATTATTTCAGAGACAATAATGTGAGTATATGGTGAACCATGTAATTTTCCCAAAGCTATCCTTTTAAACTTGGTTATCTTTGTACAGTCATATATATAGCACACAATGATTAAAGGAAGAAAGGCTTGACCCTTTACACTGTAACATCAACATGCAAGTTCTTTACACTTTTCTCTGTGCATTTCTTATGGAGAATTTGTCTAGTAATCAAGAGCTTCTTGAAGTTGGAGTCATTTCCTTTATTCTCTTGACCCAAATGTTTGATTCAGGTGTATTACCTGTGGGGTAAATTAGATGCTTATCATTCTAAGGAGTTAAAGGGTTTGTTGATTACAAATGCTTATCAAGGAAAATTTTTCCTAACTGACTACTATAAATTTCATTGTACATTAGGCAGGAATATTCTTTGTTTAAAGCTGATAGTGTTGTGTGTTCTCATAACCTGATGGAAAAATAGCATATTGGAATTGTAAGGAGAGGCTGCATGGTAATGACTTGTGGAAGTTAAGGGGTTACATGTGTGAAATAGTACCTATTTAGAGAGAGTCATCCAGACTTGGTGATAAAGCATGTGTCTTTTGATCAATCAAGTGCTTACTGTTAATTTATAGTTTGATATAAAAATGTGATGCTTGCTCCACCAGGATTGGACAATTTACAATCATGCGAGTACTCAGAAATATTATGATTGCTTTGTCAAACTTTTTTTGTCAGTGTTAAGATATCTGTATAACTTAGGTGTATGTTTCTTTTTTTACTCTTAGGAACCAAAGACACCCATTGCTTCCATCCCTTTACCAGGAAATGAGGTTGTTAGACACCCACCCGATTCTGGAGAGCCTGGAAA